CTGATCATCAGACTCACTTTTTGCAATGATTCTTACAACTTACATTTTGGCTGAACCAAACTTCTGATACATATCTCTAGGATTATCACCATTCTATTTTCTTGCATATCATCACCTATTCTCCTTTATCTCATTTTTGTTGGCAAAATTCTGCTCATATTTCAAGATAATTCCATTTATATTTCCAATTTTTAGTCTTTCCCAAGTCCCTCAGGCAGAATTAGGTGTTTCTTCTTCTATCTTAGCTTGTCATCTTGAAATTACCTTCATTACAACAATGATCACTTCATATTCTATTTGCCATTTTGCCAGTAAGATTCTCAACCAATCTGTGTTCCTTGAGGGCAGGGATCATTTTCTATTTACTGTTATATACCCAGAAGCTTAGGGAACCATTTCAATCATTCCCATCCTCACTAATACTTCTGCTGTGTGCCTCTCCAGCAAAGAGATGTAATTTATTTTTTCTTCTTTGACATTTGACCAAAATGCATTATCTCCACTAAATTTTTCCTGATTACACTTGTTTCACCCTAATCACACCTGCATTTTATCATGTCTTCGGTGCTTATAGAGGGCTCCTCCAACAAACATGTTTGTACTTGAATTGTTTACATTCCATTCCTTCTTCTAGCTCAATCTTCCTAAAACATTTAGGGATCATCTCCTGAAAACATTTATAGCAGTGCTTTTTAAATTACTTGCTTTCCAAAGACCTGTTTTGGGGCTTGAAGAAGAGGTCAAACCGCTAGTACATAGGCCCCAAGATTTTTGCTCTTCTCAAACCTAATACCCTTCCAGGGAACAATAGCATCAGAAAAGGGAAAGGAACAAGCCACCTAAAATGTGAACTCCAAAGAGAAATATTTCCAAAAGTGATTGAAGCTGAGACCCAGTGCTAGGTAGAAAGCTGAAATTCCCCAAATTAAGGGAAACCTCTCTTTCTTCTCTTTCAACTCATCTTCTTTCTTTCTTCTTTGTCCTAAGCCTGAAAAAGCAGGGCCACCCAGCTCCTTAAAAGGTTTGTGAAGGGCCATAAAAAAAGCAACCTGCCCATGCAGCTTCTGGGATAGATTAACCCATCATATTGTAGCAACTCTGGAGAGGAAAAAAGAAGATGGCACATTAAATTTTCAGGAAAGTGTTTTAATGTGTTCAGTGTCCTAAAAGCTAAGAACAAAACAAAGTAAACTTGTAAGGGCTCTATTACATTCATTTGTACTTACTGTACTGCATAATTTTCCACTAGATATTGTGCTTTCCCCAGCTATACTAAAAGCTCCTGGGGGGTCATCAACCATGTGTATTTCTTTTGTAGCTTCTAAGATGATCATCATATTGAGCATGTCGTGTATGCTCCAAGAAGTACTGTTGACTGAGTGATTACTAAGTATTTATTTTTCCCTTTGCTATTTTTCAGGAATGCTTGTTATTCACAGAATCATGGAATCTTGGAAGCCAAAAGGAAGTATCCATCTGTTGGTATACATTTTTCCTTGACTATGCATTATACAGAGATTTCCTTTGGAAATATAAACAAAGGATGCCTGAAGAGCCAGGACAAAGAACTATATATAGAGATCAAGTGGCCAGAGTAGCAAGGTCAAGGCATGCCCTTCCTTAACCAGATTAAAGGGAGTCTTGATCTGCTTCTACCTCCTTCCCATGCCCCCAAAGAAATTATTTTCAACTGCCTATTTACTGAATTCTGAAAGCTGAGCAGCAACTATAACAAGCTACAATTCAGCTAATAAATCTGTGGTGATCTTAATCTCTGTTTCTGTAATAATAGGAAGACTGCAGCTTTGTTTACTTTCTGAAGAGAATAGAGAACAGGGAGAAAGAACTAGGATAGGGAGGCAGTATTTATGGCTTCTTTATGAAAAGTCAATCTGTGACAAAAACATTTGCAGACAATAAGGAAGGGAACAGGTTTGGCAGGGAAATAGCCTATTCCAGTTTTCTCAGAAGTGCCTTAGATATGAAACCTCCACCCCCACCCAATGTAAAATGCCTGGTTTGCACTGTGAATATAGTTATTCCTTATAGACAAATCTGGATTAGTTAAAATGAAAACAAATCAAACCATCCTTAAGTGTCTGGCTCTCAAGTTTGACAGTATCGTATTATTTCATTTTATAAAGTATTTATAAGCATTTATGAAATTTCAAGTCCCTCCTTTAACTCCATTTCTAATCCTGGGGCTTATCCTGAAGCATTTTGGACACACAGGCTTTGCGTTGAATGAATATAATAAGTAGCCTGGATTCACCCTATTATTAAGGGGAAGGTAAGGGCACAGCCCTAACCTTTCACACAGGATGATGTCATAGAGGACAGACATGGCCTTCCACAAGCTATCCCATAAGGCCCCTATCAAGGATAGAATCCTAAACTGAAAAACTCTGAAGTTAACTCAGAAAAATATACTTTCATGTTCAACATTTATTATATTATCTCACTATTCTTTCTTAGTTTTCAGTTAATGTTTTTATCCTATTGTCCATATTTATTGCATGTGGATATCCACATCAGGGTAGGCTTTTGTAGTGTAAACCCTCAGAAAGTAGACACTGCATCTGCACTGTTTTCTTTGGATCTGGTATGGTGACATGCATACAGAAGTACTAGTAAAAGGTGACTTTTTGTGTAGCCAGAACAGACAGTACATACATGATGGGATTTAACAAACATCCTTAAGAGTTTTCCTTGAATACTTACTTTGCTAGCTCATCACAGGGCTACTTTCCCCTCTTATTTTACTTATACTAGTGCCACCTCCTTATGGCTCAGGGTGTAATGCTAACTTCAGAAAAGCACTGATAAAGCATCAACTGTTATCCAAAAGGTCAGAGTGAGTCCTCCCCTACCAAAACAATGATGAATTAATTTGGGAGGGGGGACTAGCTCCTTGCCACTTGAAAACAGTAGGGCACAGAATGTAAAGGCTTGGTTGGCAGCAAGAGCTGGGAAAGGTTGGAAAAGGGCTGTGTTTGGGTAAGGCTGGTCACAGTGATAAGCTTCCCTGGGGTGAGGAGATGAAACACTAGAGAGGTGCTATCATAAATGAGCAATAGAAATAAACCACTTACTTTGCTATTTTGACTACTACTTGCTCTGTGTTTAATAGTCTTTTGATTAGAATGAGGAAGGTGATAATTATAATTTCTAACCATATTTTATTCACTATTAAGTGTTACTCCACCTTCAATCATGCAAGTTCTAAACCAAAGGATCACTTATCTAGTCTCCTATTCACAATACTCCATTGTCCCTTCACCAGTGTGGATTTCTTATGCTGTAATCTAGCAGCATAATCAGAAGCTTTGAAAGAACAGAACACAGAGGGATTCTGACTAGCTGAAAACCACTCTGAACTACTATTTTGTTTCTCCCCTCTTGGAAAGGATGAGACAGTAGAGAAAAAGTACAGAATAAAGTAACCATTTAAAGAATTGTGACATATGAAATCTGGAAATACACTGAAGGTTGTAGAGTCAGTTTTAACTCCTTATTTTATAGGTAAGGACGCTGAAGCTGGGAGGTTAAATTACTTACATTTATGTGGCCAGTTAACAGAACAGCCAAGTCTAGAACCCAATTTTCCAACTCACATTCCAATTTTTTTTCTTTTATGTCTTATGCTTCTTCTCTAATCCCCTATCCTATTCTATGCTCTCACACTTAAGTTTAACCAGTACCATATATACCTACATAAAGTACCATTCTGTTCCACAGAGTGCCGCACAGGGATTAAGTTGCAATGGTATGCTCATCATAGAAGTACACTCTACTCCAGGAAACCCAAGACTTTAAGTCCAAACGACTGGAAGATGTGGTGTTATTCATATAATAAGAGCAAGTCTTTGCTTTATAAGAAACAAAGTCTCTACAGTCTCTTAAATAGGAATACCCAGGTGGTATTATATAAAATATTTAACTACTTAAAATAAAATAAACTTGAACACTTAACATTCATCTGTCATACAAGTAAGATTAGAACTAGAAAATCAGGCTCTAAATAGAATCAGAAACATTCTTATCCATCATTACCCATGAGGAATCCTCTATTTTTTATCTGGCCCTATTTAGATTTTAAGGCCTATGATCAGTTCTTCAACAAAAGCAACACAAAACTAAATGATACATGGGTCTGGGGTGTGGCTCAGTGTTAAGAGTGTTTGCCTAGCATGTGTGAGGCGCTGGGTTTGATTCTCAGCACTGTATATAAATAAATGAATAAAATAAAGGACCATCAACAACAACAACAAAACTAAACTGATAAAGCTGAAGTTTTGTGCATGTTGTTGAGAAAGAGAAAGGAATAAAATCTTTCTTTCATGATGCTCAATAAAGAAGAAGTCAACTTCTCTTTTGAGCTATGCTCTAATATTCTATGTAGGTAACAATTTTTAAAAACCCTTACACTTGTACAGCACTTTACAATACACAGACAACCTCAATGTAGACATTGTTTGTTGATGAAAAGAATAAGAGGAAAGACAATGAGTGAGGGCCAGGTAGGGTGCATGGTATAGCTAAGACCAAAGGCAGGGAATGAAGGGAGGACAGGCAAGCAGTCTTAATCATATTGTTACAGAAACAATATTACACTAATGTCCCTCACCTTACCTCAAGGACTCAGAGTTCCCAACTTCCTTATGATACCCCAGTAAAATCTTTAGGCAGTGATAATGTCCGGTTTGGTGAAAGAAGAAGCACATTTCATCTCTGATTCTCATACTACCTGCTTTTTGGAAAGGAGAGGGATGCCCTCTTTGACTGCTATCACCGCAATTCATCACCATTACCCATTTTTAAAAACATAGATATCTATCACTTTTCTTCTTAGGACAAACATCCTAAGGAATGAGACTTTCTAAAACTTCCATTCTGACCTTTGTTCCAAATGACTGAGCTATACTCTGTCAAAATACAAGTCCCAAATGATTGCCCAATCCAGGTCCTCTGAAAAAATTGCAAATATTTCTGTTACATACCTCAACCTGCTGGCAAATCTGTATTAGTTTGGCCATTTGATTTTCTAGTTCACTGTTGCGTTTAACCAGGTTGGTGAGGTTCATCTCCAGAGTTTGCTGTCATCGCAGAGAATGTGAAGCCAGAGGGAAACAGGGAAGAAGGGGGGGAAAAAGAACAATGAGACCAAGAACCAATATCATGTAGAGATCATTCAATAAATAGATATTTCAGAGATTCATTGAGCACTTGCTACAGACCAGGCCTGTTCTAGATATTAGTTAATAATGCTGTCCATCTGTTCCAGAGTGTAATTATTGGGCAAAAGACAATATTCCTCACTTTGTAGGTAGATGTAGGGATTTATTAACATTAAAAAAAGTAATGTTTTATAATATTATAATATTTGGAACTTTTCAAAATATCTCATAGCAAATATCTCAATTTTCCCTCATAGTAATTTTATAGCATATAAAAATTGGTAGCATCTCTTCTACCAATGAGTAAACTAAGAAAACTATAATTTATTGAATGATTACTGCTTGCCAGATTATACTCCATGCAATTTCATATATACCATTAATATATTGTAACAATTTCACAAAGGAGATGCTAGTATTTTACTGATGAGAAAGCTGAACTTCAGAGTGAGTGTAAAGCATTTTGAAGTCATATAAGTTTGCAGCAAAGTGAGGATTGGAACCCAGATCTCTATCCCCTAGACACAGTTTTGACTCAGTACTCTGGTTTTTGTGTTTTGTTTTATTTTGTTGGTCTTCTTGTTGATGACACTATAAATTTATCTGTAGGCTCCATCAAAGAGAAATTCATAAAAATCAAGCATTGCATCTCACAACATTCCTTCTTTGGAACTAAGGCATCATCCACAGATATGCTCAGCTTCAAACACAAGGCCTCAACTATGTCAAGAGGACATCCGTTGCTTACCATCATTTGTTAGCACATGCATTCTTTTATGTACACATTAGGAGAGTACTTTGCATATTTGTTGAAAATAAAGTAGCTAGAACAGTATTTGGAACTCCGGTATATTTTCAGTTGAGCAGGCAACTCTCTCCTATTCCTTATGTGAAGATTTGAGTGCTATTTTACTCTAGATGAATTATGAGTTTTTAAATCCTTTTCTCTCCTCAAGTCTTTATCTTTGATGGCTATTTTTCCTCCAGGACCTGTCCCAATACCTTCTCATCCAACATACCAACATACCGCAAAGTCTGTTCCAAATGTAATACCCCAACTTGTTGGCCTTTGTCATGATATTATTCCTTCTCTCAGTCTTATTAACTGCTTCATTGCTGTCTCTGTGGTTATTAATGGTTTCTAATTGTTCAAAGTTCGTACTTTTGAAAGAGAGGATAAGAATAACAGTGGGCAGTGAGCAGACATGGATGAAGAGAGGGGGCTTGTGTTCTTGGCCCTTTCCTATCTACTAAGTATCATAGCTCATTAAGTGGGCACTGTCCCTACGAATATATCTCAGAGGATATATTCACACAGACATATGTATTTCTAGGCTGGATAATCTGATTTCACTTGTTCTAAAGCTGGATTTTTAAAAAATATATATTTATTTTTTTAGTTGTATTTTGACACAATACCTTTATTTATATTTTTTATGTGGTGCTGAGGATTGAACCCAGAGCCTCGCACGTGCTAGGTGAGCACTCTACCGCTGAGCCACAACCCTAGCCCTCAAACTAGATTTTGAAGACCACCTTAACCATTGCTTCCCTTCTTGCCAAGTGCCTCATTTTCTTCAGCTTTATTTCCATAAAAGTGGTTTTTCAACATTTATTACACTTTTCTTGGCTTGAGGGTTTCCTCCCTGACCTTCTTTAATCCTACTAACATCTCCATCTGTGGTCTCCTTAGTAAGCACAAGGAAAGGGAAGAAGGAAAAAGGCAGAGTATTGACAATTGATTTGGGCATGATCTCTAAGCTAAATAGATACCAGATAGGTGGAAAACAGCAGTTTGGATTTTTTAAAATGGTAACTTTTTAAAATATCTTTATTTATTTTTTATGTGGTGCTGAGGATCGAACCCAGTACCTCACAAATGCGAGACAAGCGCTCTACCGCTGAGCTATAACCCCAGCCCCAGTTTGGATTTTTAATATAACAAAAATATATTGAGCATCTACTCTGTTCAGTACAGTGACTTCACAGATAGGACTTGAAATTAAGATGGATTTTGAAGTATATGTTGGATTTTATCAGACAGATGGGAGAGGGCAGGGTGTTCCAGGCACAAGGAATAGCATGAGCAAAAGTAAAAATGAATAAAGTAGTTAGGCACTGTGATGCATGTCTCTAGTCCTAGCTACTTGAAAGGCTGAGGCAGTATGATCACCTGAGCCCAGAAATTCCAGGAAAGCCTGGACAATATACGTAAGATCTCATCTCAAAAAGAAAGGAAATGAAGGCAGTGAAGAGGGAGGAAAGGAGGAAGAAACAGAGATATAGAGAGGAAGGAAGGGAGGGAGGGAGGGAGGGAGGGAGGGAGGKAAAGGAAAGAAAAGAAAGGTAGGAGGAAGGGATAGAGATACTGTTCAGAGAATGGTAGTTTAGATGGCTAGAACAGAGGGTACAAAGAGATTAGTAGGGGACAAGGTTGGAAATGGAGATCAAAGTCCTGTTATGAAGTGTGTAGATGAATTTGTACACACATTATTTTTCCAGTATAAAGTGCTTACCAAAGGCTGTTGAGCAAGCTAATGGAATAATCAGGGTTTCATTTAAGACATTTACCTAGCAGCAGTATGTGGGGCAGACTGAAACAGGAAAGCCTGGGAGGAAGAGACACTGGTTAGAAGACTGAAATATTAGGCAGTTGCTAATGCAGGTCTGAGCCAAGCTAAGAGGATAATGAATAGAAACACATTTGAAGAAAAGATTTGTCACTGTCAAATATGCAGAGAGTACAAGAAATATGAGCATTGGTAAAAGGCAGCTAGATTCACTAATTAGAGATCACAGATAGCCTTTGAAAAAGGAATTTCAGTAGGGTTTTTTAAACAGATGCCAAATCATAGGGTTAAAGAGTACGTCATTAGTGACATAGTAGAGGCTACAAGTCTAGACTCCTCTTCAAAAGTTTTGTTGTAAGGTAACTGTGACAGAGCTCAGTTTGATCAAAAGATCTAACTTAAATTAGAGAGTGGGAATTGGTAATACATCCAATTGGTCAACAATTTCCTCTACAAGTGGTCTAAATTCTTAAATCAATGGAAATTCCATGTATCAACAAATGAATATATCAACCTATTAGGTAAATATAATATGTATTGATAAATGCAGATCAGAAACAGTATTAGAAATCTGTTTCCAACTGTGAAATATTTCCATTCAAACATAGGATTCCATGGGGAATTTTTTTTTTTAACAATCATAAGCGACCTGTTGCAACACTGGTCCTGAAATTGATAACTCATAAATAATTCATAGTGCAGAGCAGGACTAAGATTCCTGCTGTGTGTTCCTCATTTATGGCCCCAAACTGAGACTCACGCCTTCTCTATAAAGCCACTGAAAACAAAAATTAGAAATGAACACATAATTTTGGGTCTGGTTAGACTATGGGCCTTGGGTTACCATCACAAAATTATGGTAAATGGTTAGTTTGCTCTGGCCCCCTAGCAATTTGCAGAATGCTAGTGCATTTTAACAACACCAAACTAGAAATGACAAGATGATTCTAATTTCAACCTTGCTTCATTAATATGAAAATGCTTTGAAAAATAAATCTTTGGCTAATGAAAACACCATCTGTTGATGGCTTTTTGCCACTGTTTTCTTACATTATGAGACATAATTTGAGGAAAACACCGAACATTTACTTACTCACTTCCTATTCATTTACAAAGAATTAAAGCCTCCTCTCAAATTGGAATTGATTCTCAATAATGAACATATGCAAAGGGAAGCAGAGAATTGAAGCAATTATGCAGCCTGTTTCCTCACCCTTTCCTTATCAAGCCTAGCACTGACAAATGATTTAGAACTAAAAATTCTGGGCCATTCTAGGTTTGAATGATTTGATTGATTTGGCCAACAGATTATCTTGTCTGTACTCTGGCTGAGTAAACAAAGTGTGTGTGTGTGTGTGTGTGTGTGTGTGTGTGTGTGTATACATGTGTGTATGTGCACATGAGTGTGTATAAATTCTCTTTAGGTAAAAATAAACATGCTTTGTTGTCATTTAGTTTGAAGAATTGGTTTGTTTTTTTCTTTTCTTGTGCAGTCCTGTTAATGACTGGGCCAGGTTCCCTCTGTCTAAACTCAGTTAGTATAACTTTCTCAGAATAGTTGAACCATGACAGCAAGAGAGCCAAAGTGGCAGGGGAGATTGGAATGGAGATATCTGCTGGGAGGAAATGGGGACAGGAGGTTGGCAGGGAGAGCAGGATGAAGCTCCCATTTCCTGCTGCAGGAGGTTACCTCTGGGTCCTTTGTGCTTCCCCTTTGTGAGGGTTAGAGAAACCAATTTGTTTATGAAACTGGGAGACCCTCTTTCCCTCCAAATGTCTATATCATTCTAGCTCTTACAAAACTGTACATGTGTCTAAACAACACAAAGCAAGGAGAAGATTTGGCTGGCTTGCATAATTGAGATTCAAACGGCCCAAGTTAGCTAAATTGGCAGTCTACACAGATTCCATTTTTACCCATGTTCCACTTCATTTGTGTTATATAGACAGCCTCTTTGTGCTCCATAGTACCTTTCCCAAAGATGAACATGTTTTGCCATCTGAGAAAGGTGGGCACAGGTTATTCTTCCAGAAAGCATCCATCCAATTTTAAAAAATGACTTGTCTAACCCTATCAAAACAATTGCTATTTTTTTTTTAGCTTCTCTAGTCACAGGTTATTTCAGGTAACTTTCTTACGTGCTCCCTCAAAAAACCTGGCCATGCATCAAAACACCAGCTCTTCATTAAAGCAAGAGATTATTGTTAGAGGACAAACTGGACTCTGATCTCCATCTGTCATACTCTATGAAGGCAGATGTATTCACACGTTTATGAGCACGCTTACATGCACCAACCTGACACAGTAAATTCTAAAGACTAAAATGGGATGCAGCCTTTCTGTTTGTT